TTTTATCCACTGAGTATTTTGTGGTTCCATATTATATATATCATTTAGATCATATTTGTCTAATAATGCTTTAATGTTATCGATCCATTTCCATCGTGTAAGTGATCTAACCTCCATAAGTGATTTATGGAGGCAATCTATCCTCATCCATAGTTTTAAGCCTATCAAAATATTTTATTCTAAATTTTTTTTAATCGTTTCCATAGATTGCCACCCTAAGTCAAAGTCACCAAGTAAAGCTTCATTGGCAACATTCCTTGGTGCTTTTAGGATCATTTAGCCATCTGATATTGCAGGTTTTCAAGTTTGTTAACTAACTGTTTACTGCCCGGGACCCAAACAGGACATGCATAGTTTATTGTAGGAAGACCAATTATTGTTTTCCACAATAAATCGCCATAGTATATCCTGTTGAAGTCTTCTTGGCCATCGATAATTTACTTGATATAGGCAATTACTTTATTTCCTTTTTTGATAACCTCTTCAATATGATCATTATCATTGTTTTTTCTTGATATAACTGTACCGAGATATTTGTATTTATCTGTTTCACTTATAAGGTTATTACCTAATTTCCTTTTTCTCAGCTTATTTACTCTTTGGCCAACGATTAATACCTGTGATTTTTCTAAATTATCTTAAGTTTCCAGAGTTCTGAGAACTCTGCATTTATTTAATATCATTAAAAATAACATTACATTTGAAATTGGAGTACATGTTCTGAATAATATTTAGAAGTTTGCCCTTTATGCCTACATTTTTAATAGCCTGTATAAGTCATTGTCTCCATACAGAGTCAAAGGCGAGGTGTGTCTTCTTACCTTGTGCTTGCCTTGTAGCAAGAATACTTTTTAATATAAATATATGGTCTTCACATCTTATTTTATACACCTTCTTTTATACACCTTCTTTTATACACCTTCTATATATACAAATAATTTGAGATGATTGTTTAATTATATTACATATTTGGCAGGTTAGATTACAGTTTATTTTTATTCATTGTTTATGTTAATATTTTTAGCAAATAAAAAAGTTGGTGTGCATATGAGGTAGCTGCCATTGATTACACTTTATATTTTTTGTTGTATTACAGTATGACAGTATGGCGACACTACATTTCACAAATTGTTGCAAAGTGACCATGAATACCAAGTTCACCAGGATGGAACCCAAACCTTGTTACATGCTGGAGTTGTGGAGCTGAGCCGAGTCTATTGAACCAGGTAAATAATTTGCCTATGTAGCCTTTCTTATGTTATCATATATATATATATAGGATGTAGGGAAAATCTAAACCGTCTTTCGAAATGCTATATAAATAATTAGATAAATATTAACCCCAGATAGGAACATAAGATGTACGGTAATGATCATACCAAATCGGGAGGGTACACATAAAAACTCCAGATGTCGTGAAGGGGAAAAGCAAGCTGGCTTTGTTATTATAGGACGATATAGGGGTCCGATAGAGTATTGGTTAAAATGTTAAGATTTAATATTCGATTTTAAATTTTTTTACAAAAAAAATAAAAATATATGTGTATTCAGTACATTTTCGACTGTTTTAAAATTCATACCTTCTTCGATTTGGGGTGGGATGTTGGGTAGCACACTCACCTACTCATTAAAATAACGCTTTGTTAACGTATACACTTTACATGTACACTTTACATAATGTATTAAATCAATTAAACAATCAATTATATTTTCTGAATTTGTATTCGTACCTCCTGAAAGTATGAATGTCCTAAAGTTTCCAAAAGTGTTTTTAATTTTATGAGATTTATACTTAAATAGGCCTAACTTAACAGAGATGCCAAAGTGAAATTAATTTGAATGTATTTCTCACTAGTTCAATCTCTTTTATTTCAGTGTCTCAGGTCAAGTCTACCGATATATCAATAAGTGCGAAGTCGATGTACAATCATTGTCAGCAGAACACAATGTGTGTTAAATTTCCGGAACACAAGACGCTATCAATAGCCGGATTTAAGTGGTTTTAATTCTACAAATAATCGCGCGCGGATATTTATTAGGACTTATATCACTGGATCGCCGGAATTGAATCAAGTTTGCCAATTAGGCCTATGTTTCTTATACAACGAACAAGTAATTCTCGAACGATATTACATAATTAAATATAATTAGGCCTAAGCATTATATATATTATATTATATCGTATAAAACTAGAATCTTTATATTCTATTTATATTACGTTTATTCTGATGTAACATTTCCGAGTAAGAAATAAAAGTAAACTGTAGTGTAATTCATGATACATCATTGTTTGTACTTCGTTTGTCGTAACTGCATTAATAATTATATTATGTATTTCATGATTAATCGGTATATATAATCGAAATTAATATATTATAATCACTTCGATTCGAATATACTACTATTACGGGCTACTATGTCTTATAAACACTCTTTCCAAATATATTCACATGACACCAAAAAATTACGAAACTTTTCAGAGCAAGGCGCTGTCGAATTTTACAAAACAGGAAATGACGTCGGTTGCTAGGCTACAGCTCATTCATATGCAGTAACACCTGTGCTCATTAGACTAACAATAAAAACTTTTAGCTCAATTTTGACAAAATCGACCAAAAAGATTTTATTGTTAGTCTAATTAGAACAGGTGTCACTGAATATTCATGATTATGCATGAGCTTGTTGCTTAGCAACCACGTCATTTCCGGTTTTATGTTTTCGTTGAGGGCGTCTTCTAAAGAATTGCAAGTTTAATAGATAAAGTAGCACATATTGATGAAGCAATTCTTCACTTTTGGTTTAAGCTTATAAGCTTATTATAATAAGGATATTTTAGCTATTGAATTTATTACAGTAAACGTAGACATTAAATAAGATGAGAAGAAATTCAGAATTCCATTTGATATTTATTTTCAAGCATTGAAATCAAGTTGTGATATATATATATATATATATATATTATATACATTTTATATTTATATACTGTAGGCTTATATCATGTACATCCGGCAAAGATCAATAAATCTAATCTTAATCCTCAAAATGTTATATCTTATTATCTTATATTCTTTTATATTATGTTATCTATATTCTTTACAACAAACGGGTTACTTTCTCTATTAATAAGATAAACATTAGCAGTAATAATACAATATTAATAAACATAAAACCTACAAGAATTACTACATATTGCTAACATTATTTTTGAGATTATTGCATAGAAAACATTTAAAAAATAAATTTACACTATATTTTAATTAATTTCATATCCAGAATTTTTGCAGGAAGTTTGACGAGTGACACAATTTTTGGCTATCTATGAATAATTGGTAAGTTCTGTTGCCCTTTTACGATTGAGTCCGGAATTCTTTCCTGATAGTTGTGACTTCTTTGTCTATATCACTGGAATAGAAAAATATTGAGAAAAATTTAGGAAACAGAGAAAGCATTATAACGGAGTATCATCAAAACATAATATATAAATAAAAACAGAGGCAGAGCCAGTAGGTTAAATAGATGGGGCCCACGGGGAGGGACTTTTTGCCAGATGAAGGGATGTCACCACCTGAGCCCCACCATGATTGGGCCGGAGGTAAGAAACTTTTCGATTATGGCACCTCTAGATGGCCAGAAATGGCACTCTCAGATTTTGAATGTAATTTTAATTTGTTTTTGTTTAATTTTTTACCATTTCAAAAGATTTAAGGGGGGGGGGGCAGGCCGGCTGCCAACCCCCAGGGGAGCATCTCAACCTGAACATTATCGTATTCAGTTATCGCAATGGACAATGCTGCTGATACAACATAATAGTACTTCACAATTCTTATCATATCAGCATTATCACATTAAATTCTAATTATTCATAGTATCATCACCACGGAATCATGTGAGGATTATTAAACACATGGCATTAGGAGGGCTAGTAGATCGCAATAGCGCAAACAATTAATTATATTAGCATTCCGATTGTCATGGGTAAATAAAATTTATAAAAAGTGTATTACTCGATAGAAATGAATATATAGATTTATAAATACAATATATTCAAACAATAAGCATAATACTATATCTATAATCTTCATACAAACATGTTTCATGATATAATATTTTTGGATTGATTGAATTTATTCGATGCTCAACATGCATAAGCAAGATAACAAATGGATTGAGAAATAAAAGTAAAAATTACCGTAATGAACATCAGGAACGCCAATTAGGCCGCAGTCCAGCCCATTTCCAATTTAAATATACACTGTCTGTCTTGAGCTGAAAGATAAACCATTTAATTCCATAACTGAATAATTATATTTAAGTAAGTTAACTTACAATTAAATATACGAATGACAAAATTGTTTTCCTATCAATTAACAGACAGTTAAATTATACCAGTGCTATATTCTTATTTATATATACACTCCTAAATTGGCTGGCAGTGTCGATTTAAGGATTTTGTAGCAAAATGTTCATAAAATCGGAAAATGAGAAAAATGTCGATAGGGGGTCCAACCATTCTGATCGGGGACTAAAACAAGGGGATGTCTAGTGCCTTGTTCATGGTCCCAGAATAAAATCCCTGGGGTGAGGTTCATGGGGAGAAATATTACGGTACAGGATCGCCCATGTGATTTTTGAGCACAATTGGATTGGCTATCAAAATATAAAAATTAATGTTGTGGAGTCAGAAGAGGGAGTTGCTAGATGCGTTTCAAGTTTAAAATATTGTTTAGTCTACAGCACATATGCTATATTGATCTTCATGGAAGTACACATCCATGAAGATCAATTTGATAAAGACGGTGTCATTTGGGCCTAACCCGATCACTTTCGCTGTCCTTTAAAAATAGGCCTAATATAAAAAATATGTTTGTCGAGCTATAACACATTTCGATTATTCAGGATTAAAAGTTGTGTACCAGATAATTATAGGCTCTTGGTAATAAATTGCATATATTGTCAATGAAAAAAACGGATTAATCTACAATGTAAAAAACGAACGGAAGTTAAGAAGCCCCAAGCTGTAATTACTGTAAATAACGATTTTTAGCCGCCAGTTTTAGGTCTTTGGTGGTTTTAGCGAGTCACTG